ACACACCTTTAATGGCAGCACTTGGGAGGCAGAGGCAGGAGAAACTCTGAGCTCGAAGCCATTTTAACATAGATCAAGAGAAAGAAAGTAGAGGCAGGAACACAGAAAGTCCCAGGCCAGTCTCAGCTACACAATAAGACACTGTCTCAAAAACAGCAAAGAAAGCTCACAGCTCAACAATAAACTACAAGTCAGAAGGTGGGGAGGCTAAAGCTTGGTAGTAGGATACTTGTCTAGCAGCACATAAGGCACTGCATCTCATGTCCACTACTAGAATGAAAAGGGGACAAAGGACTTCAAAGAAACTAAAAGTCTATTTGGATTTTTGTTACCCAAGAAACCAAAAATAAGGCTGGACCTGGTGGTGCCCACCTATTACATAGTACTTGGAAGACTGATACTGGGTATCATTAAGGTCAATCTGTCAGTAAGACCTTGTTGGGTGTTCTACATTTTTCCTCATTGGCCATCTAAAGGTAAGATGGGTCACCAGCAACTGTATTGGAGCCACCCATGGAAACTCCACCAGAGTTCTCACTCTTGCCTGAGTCTGCTGGAACCACCACGGTCTAACCTGGAAATCCAGACTGAACATGTGTTCACAGTGTTTCCGTACTCAGGGACACAGGGGTCATTAAGTTGGGCTAAGTGCCCTTGAATGGATTATTCAAGACTGTCTACCTGGTGAAAAGAGATAAGCTAGTCTTTATACACACACACACACACACACATACACACACACACACACACACACACACACACATAAATAACAAGACTTTCAAAAAAAAAAAAGCATTGATTCTAGGCCAGCCTGTGCTACAAAATTCACATGTTTTTAATCCCAATTCTTGGGAGGCAAAGGCAGGTGGGTTACTGTGAGTTGGAGGCCAGGATAGTCTACACAGAGTTTTAGAGGCTAGCCAGGGCTACATATCAAGACAGTGTCTAAAAATAAGGGTGGGGATGCAGATATGGCTCAGCAGTTAAGAGCATTTAGTGCTTTTCCAGAGAGTTGGTTCTCATCACCCACAGCAGGCAGCATACAACCAACTGTAACTACAGTTCCAAGGGATCCAATACCTTCTCCTGGTCTCTGAGGACACACACACACACACACACACACACACACACACACACACATAAAAATCTTTAATTAATAATTTAATTTAAAGTAAATAAAGAAGATGGGTGATGTAGCTCAGTGGTAGCTTGGCATGTGTAAGGCCTTAAATTCCATCTCCAGTACTAGTAAAAGAATAAAAAGATATTCCTCAGGATGTGATGTCCTTATGACACATGCATGACACTCCAGTTTCCAGTTTCCATCCCTAGTACTGGAGAAAAAACAAATCTTGAGCCAGCAAGATGGCCCAGTAGACAAAGGCACTTGTCATCAAATCTGAAGACCTGAGTGTGACCCTTGAGATCCACACAGGAGAAGGAGAGAACCAACTCCCAAAAGTTATCCTCTGACCTCCCTACCTGTGCTATGATATATGCATGTGCGGAGCGGTGTGTGTGCCACACATGCACCAGATAAATAAATAAGTGTAAGAAAAGATTTTTTTAAAGATTTATTTATTTATTACATATACACCAGATTGAATTGTAGATGGTTGTGAGCCACCATGTGGTTGCTGGGAATTGAACCCAAGACCTCTGGAAGAGCAGTCAGTGCTCTTAACCTCTGAGCCATCTCTCCAGCCCAAGAAAAGATTTTAAAGATAATTTTTACTTGCAAATTTACAAGGAATCAGCTTTGTTAAAATGTCTATACTAGCCGGGCGGTAGTAGTGCATGCCTTTACCAGCACTCGGGAGGTAGAGGCAAGTGGATCTCTGTGAGGTCGAGGCCAGCTTGGTCTACAGCATGAGTTCCAGGACAGTCAAAGCTACACTGAGAAACCCCATCTCGAAAAACAAAACAAAACAAAAAGCATGGAAAGCTTAACTACATAAATACAGAAACGGAACTGGTCAGTGATGGGGAATTATTTCCTGAAGAAATTTATTGGAGCAGTCTCTGTTTGGATAGGTTAGGCTTCCAGACATTCTGAGGAGGTGTCTACAAATGCCAGGAAGTATTTAGAGCCAAAAACAGTGGACCTGACTTCATTGAAGGCTAGCTCCCAATGTTCACAGGCCCATTTTTTTGATCCCTGATCCTATGTGGAATCTTCCTCCCTCCTTTGGCGTTTACCTGAGTACAAGTGGCACATATAAAAGTGGTGACTTTAATTAGGTTTTCCCAACTTGAAACCTAATACCTGGGTCTGAGGAGTTCAGCAGTCTCTGTGGTCAGCAGCTTTCAGCCAGTGAATGGCTTGGTGTGGAGCTGGGACTAGTTGCCTTCGCAACTCAGCCACCTAGCAGCAGGCATAGTTCTTGTTGGGCCCGGTCACTCTCAACTGGGTGTGTTCCAGGTGGTCTGGTAAGCTGGGCTCCAGCAGGGCTACCAAGACTCGGAGAGGCTCCCACTGGTTCTAGAACCACTTCTCAGGCAGTCAAGTTAGCCACACTGTTGTCTCTGGCTTTTGAGGAATCGCCTTTTTGGTGTCCCTTACAATAGGCAATGGACACCCTATTGAGAAACCAGATAGCTTCCAATAGGGTTAAGATTTCTTCTCTATTTTTTTTTTTAATTTCTTTTCCTGCTAACGTTAGCAATCCTCTTTCCCTGTAGAGAGCCCCATGGATACCAACCATGGTGAAAGCATATCAGCCATGATTGTATGTGGGATAGCCTTGTGTCCCGTTCCCCTCCATCCCACCCCATCCCACCCCCTCGGGGAGTGTGAGAGCTAAAAGCTCATATTGTTGAACTGAGTTTCCCTTGTTTAAGCTTATTCCTAGATAGGTTTTCTTTTTTTTCTTTTTGGTTTTTTTGAGATAGATACCGTATCTCTGTGTATAGCTTTGGAGGCTGTCCTGGAACTCGCTCTGTAGACCAGGCTGGCCTCAAACTCACAGAGATCTGCCTGCCTCTGCCTACCGAATGCTGGAACTAAAGGCCTGCGCCACCAACCCCCAGCTCTCAGAGAGTCTTACCTTGGGTCATCACCACTGCTCCTGAATACCTGATCCTGTCTTGAAGTCTTGAAGTAAATTGCTTGTATCTGTAAAGAATACATCCTCTGCTGTCACCAACAGGCCTGATAGACTGGATCAAGTCAGTCACCTCAAGACAGTCATGCAGGGGTCCCAAGGGGTCATGCTCCCCAGGAGACTGGCAGCATTGAGGACTGACGTCTTTAGTAGAACTGAGTGCAGGGGTATTGGGTCATCCTGGTTTTAGATATTCATCTCGGGTGCCCCGTGCAAGATGATTATGGACATTCATCACTGGTCTTACAGCAACAATCAGTAAAAAAAAATAGTGCTTCTCCTCTTCTCTCTCCTCCTTCCCTTTTCTCCTCCTCTTTTCTTCCTCCTTCTCCTCTTCTGTTCTTTTGTAGTACCCAGAATTAAACAGAGAGCTTTTCACAAGCTAGACAAGTGTTGTTCTTTTCCTAAGCAATACCCCCCAAAAAAATGTAAGTATAGAATTTGTTTTGCTTTGTTGTGTTTTATTTTATTTTTATTGTATTTTATTTATTTATTTATTTATTTATTTATTTATTTATTTATTTATTAATTTTGGTTTTTCCAGACAGGGTTTCTCTGTGGCTTTGGAGGTTGTCCTGGAACCAGCTCTTGTAGACCAGGTGGTGTCAAACTCATAGGGATCTGCTCGTCTCTGCCTCCCAAGTGCTGGGACTAAAGGAATGTATCACCATCATGTAGCATAATAATAGAATTTTTGTTTTTGTTTTTTTTGTTTTTTGTTTTTTTTGGTTTTTTCGAGACAGGGTTTCTCTGTGTAGTTTTTTTTGGAGGCTGTCCTGGCACTCGCTCTGTAGACCAGACTGGCCTCGAACTCAGAGATCTACCTGCCCGGCTCAGAGGCAGGATCTCTGTAAGTGGTCTACAAAGTGAGTTCCAGGGCAGGCAGGGCTGTTACACAGAAAAACCCTCTTTGAAAAAAGCAAACAAACAAAAAACATCTGTATTTACCAAGAAATTCTGTAGGCAGGAATGGTGATACACTCCTATAATGTTGCTCTGGTGGAAGATCCACCCCAGCCCCTGGCATCCATACATCCAAAGAGTCCAGAATATTCTGGTGGAAAACACCCTCCCCTATTTCTTTCTCCAAATCCTGTAGCATCTCAGAAAGCCCACCAAATAATCACCCTTCCCCCAGAGATGCTCAAGACCACTCCCACAGGGTACCCCAACACCCCTATCCCCCACTCCGCCACCCCCCACCCGCCAGCCAGAAAACAGACATGTGGTTTTTTGGTCTCTCTTCCCCATCTCCTCTCTGGGGGACAGGAAAATCATTTGGGAACATTTTAACCATTAAACCAGGGCTTTTTTCTAATTGGGTTTGATTTGGTCTGATCTGGATTGCTTAGTTGGTGGAGAGGTTTATCAGGGTACAGAAAAATTTCAAATCTCAGTACTTGGGAGATGAGGCAGGAGGATTAAAGTTTCAAGGCCAGAATTGACTGCACAAGCTAACTAGTCTATGTGAGCCCCTGTTTCAAAAGAAAAGTAACTAACCTTTTTCTTAGTGTTTATCATTCATATAGGATTAAACTCAGTTTCTAGCTAGTTTTCATGTCAACTTGACACAAGTGAGAGTCATCTAAGAGGAGGGAACTTCAGTTGAGAAAAATCCCTCCAAAAGGTTGAGTTTTAGGGAAGCCTTTAGGGACACTGCCACCTCTGGGCTGGTGGTCCTGGCTTCTATAAGAAGGTAGACTGGACAGGCCTTAAGGAGCAAGCCATAATTAGCACGCCTCCATGGCATCTGCATCAGCCCTGCCTCCAGATTCCTGCCTGCTTTTGATGACCAACTATTATGTGGAAGTGTGAGTGACATAAATCCTTTCCTCCCCGAGTTGCTTCTGGTCAGTGTTTCATCACAAAAGTAGAAACTCTAACTAAGACACCCAGTTCAAGCCTCTGAGTAACACAGAATTAATCTGCAAGAGAAAAAAGGAAAAAAAAACAATTACTTTCTGACTTTCAGAGGCCAGCTGTAGCAAACATGGACATTATACGGCCTCGCTGTTCTTTGAAGCTCCCCCAGAGCAGAATTAAAGCCAGTGACCCAGTTCATCTGCTTCTATACCTCACAGGCATCAGGGTTCATTCTGCCAAGTGGACTCCCTAGCCAAATCAACCACACCACTGACCTAGTGCATATATGCAGAAGCTAGTCAACAGCAAAGGGCACTAGAACAAAGATGAGCATAGTGCTCCCTTAATAAAGAAGGCTTGGAAAGGGATTTACATAAAGTTAATTAAGCTTGAGTTCCAGAAGCTCCTCATTTGCAAGTGCCCTTGGGAGAGGTGGGAGCTACTGAGCTGTGGTCTGCTAGAGATTAGAGAAGGAAGGGATTTCAGGTCAAGAAGCATTTGGGAGCTGCAGGCAGCAGCCCGGTTATTGCTCAGCCTGCTGCCTTTGCTCAATGAATTTTTCTTACAAAGGAAGAAGAGGAGGAACAAAAAACAGGAGAAGAAGGGGGGTAACAGGAGGAGGAGAAGGGAGAACAGAACGGATTTATTTCATTTTTTATTTATTTTGGTTTTTCGAGACAGGGTTTTGGTTCCCAGCACTCATAAAACTGTCTCACCAAACTATCCAGTTGCTCCAGTTTTAGGTTTTCTGTTTTTTTTTTGTTTGTTTGTTTTTTTTTTGGTTTTTCAAGGCAGGGTTTCTCTATGGCTTTAGAGGCTGTCCTAGAACTAGCTCTTATAGACCAGGCTGCTCTCGAACTCACAGAAATCCACCTGCCTCTGCCTCCCAAGTGCTGGAACTCAAGGTGTGTGCCAACATGCCAGGTTAATAAATATCTCTTTTAAAAAATAAAAAGATCTGGGTGTGGTGGTGGTGGTAGCAGTGGTACACGCCTTTAGTCCCAGCACTTGGAAGGCAGAGGAAGGTGGATCTTTGTGAGTTCGAGAGTAGCCTGGTCTATAAGAGCTAGTTCCAGGACAGCCTCCAAAGCCATAGAGAAACTTCTTGAAAAACCAAAAATTAAGTTAAATTAAAAAATGAAAATAAAAATAAAATCAAACAAATATTGAAGGCTGCAGAGATGGCTAAGCAGTCAGAGGTGCTTGCCACCAAGCAAGACATCTTGAGTTCACTACTTGGAACCCACTGGTGGAAAGAGATAATCTACTGTGGAAAGCTATACCTGTCCACCACAAGTCTTGAATAACACTAGTACTTATGAGGCTAAAATGTGAGGACTGACTCAAGTTCAAGGTCAGCCTGGGCTTTATAGTGAGCTTCTGGACTATCCTGATCATAATTTAGGAGTTTGTTGTTATTGTTTGCTTGTGAAGGGCTCCAAACTACCTTTTATTATTTCCCAGCAAGGTCAAGAGGTAGACACCTGGTGTAGTCTCCTGTAACAGAGAAGAAATGATTCTTTGGTTTTCCATGCTTGACCACCATTCTTGGCAAGCACACGCTAGACCTGCAATGAGATAGACAAATAGAACTGATGGTTTCTTAGAGTTTCAGACAATTGCAGTTTTCTCTTTGGGGACACTGTCTGTGTGAGTGATTACCCATTCAAATAACTCCTCAAAGCTACTTTCTCTTCCCAACCCCACACAGGGTCTCATGTAGTCTGGACTATCCTCAAATTCAATAACAGCCAAGGACAACCCAGAGCTACTGATCCTCGTAGCTCTTCCTCTGAAGTGATAGGATTACAGACATGTGCTATAGAATAATTCTTCTGTACACTGTGAAGATATGTTGCCCTCATTGTTAATAAAAAGCTGATTGGTCCATATGGATAGCTAGGCAGGATTTTTGGGGCAGAGAGAATGCTGGGAAGAAGGGGCAGAGTTAGGGGGTCAGGAGAGTCTCAAGCCAGACTAGGAAGAAGCAACATAGGAAGTTCACAGATGAGGTAAAGAGGCCTTGGGGCAGCATATAGGTTAATCTAGGTTATACGAACCGGGCAGTGGTGGCGCACGCCTTTAATCCCAGCACTCGGGAGGCAGAGGCAGGCGGATCTCTGTGAGTTCGAGGCCAGGCTGGACTGATAGCCTCCGAAACAATACGGAGAAACCCTGTCTCGTAAAAACCAAAAAAAAAAAACAGGTCAAAGCTATTGGCCGAGCATTTATAATTTATTGTGAGTCTCTGTGTAGTTATTTGGAACTGTCTGCAGGGACAGAAAAATCTGACTACAGACTTAGGCGACCATACTGGCTTATGAGGTACTGGGGTTCAAACTCAAGGTCCCATGCATGTTAGGCAAGCACTCTACTGACTTACCTGTATCCCTTGCCCAAAGCTAATTCCTTTTTGACCTTGACCACTGCCTTCAAATCTCTCTCCCAGAAGTCTTTGCCATTCTTTGAGGTATAGTCAAAAAACAGTGTGCTTGCTTTCCCACGCCTGGCACATTTAACAGCCTGCAATAAAGAATTGTTAAATTATTGAGTTAGAAGAATGAACTTTATGGTTCGCAGCCACTGACAAGACTGCTAACAAACTATAAAAGTTACATATATATATATGTATAGTGGGAGAAAAAAGATGACAGCTTTTCTTTCGGTGTATTCACTAAACCAGGGAATTGCCAACTTGGCATGCTTTTAGTCACATTGAAAATGCAGATTTATGGGCTGTGTACCCAGATAGGGAGAAATTCAGAAGTCCACACTTTAATTTTAATTTTCCTAGTGCTAGGGATAAAATCTAGAGCCTTTTTCATTCTAGGACAGCACTCTGTCACTGAGTTACTTCACTAGCACCATGGAGGCCACCTTTTTTCAAAGGTTCTTAGCAATTCTGACTGTAGGCTGCAGCTTTAGAACTACTACAGATGGGACTGAATCTAGCTAATTTTAGTTTAAGACTGAAGCCAGGAAAAGACACAGAAGAGTACCCAAGAGTTGGCTCAGCAGTTAAGAGCCACTCTTCCAGAGGATCGGTTAAATTCCCAGCATGCACATGGTAGCTCACAACCCTCTGTAATTCTAGTTCTAGGGGATCCAACACCCTTTTCTGGTCTCCCTGGACACCAGGCATGCGTGTGATGCATAGACATGCAGGCAGGCAAAACACTTTTATACATAAAAATAATTTTTTTTAGTCAGGCGGTGGTGGTGCACACCTTTAATCCCAGCACTCAGGAGGCAGAGGCAGGTGGATCTCTGTGAGTTCTAGACCAGCCTGGTCTACAGAGTAAGTTCCAGGACAGCCTCCAAAGCCACAGAGAAACCCTGTCTTGGAAAAAAAAAAAAAACAAGATTATGAACCACATTTACACTTAAAACAAATTCCTTGAAAATATAGCTACCTCATTAGTTAAGAGCACAAGAGCAGCCGGGCGTTGGTGGCGCACGCCTTTAATCCCAGCACTCGGGAGGCAGAGGCAGGCGGATCTCTGTGAGTTCGAGGCCAGCCTGGTCTACAAAGTGAGTTCCAGGACAGCCTCCAAAACTACAGAGAAACCCTGTCTCGAAAAACCAAAAAAAAAAAAAAAGAGCACAAGAGCACTTTTTGCTTTTGCAGAGGATTGGGGTTCAATTCTCAGCACCCACATAGTGGCTCACAACCATCTACGGCTCCCGTTCAAAGGGATCCAATGACCTCCTCTAATCTCCAGGCACACAAATGGTGCACAGACATACATGTACTCATACATATGTAATATTAAAACAAAACATATATGCCTTGACTTCATGTGAGCCATGTGTGTTAAGAATTCTTTAAAATTTTTTTCAATTTATTTAATTGTTTCACCTTCTTATCCTATAAACCTGCATGTACAGGGGCTAGAGAGATGGCTCAGTGATTAAGAGCACTTACTGCTGTTCCAAAGACTCTAGTTCAGTTCCCAGAACCTATCTTGGGCAGCTCAGAGGCACCTGTAACTCCAGTTCCAAGGCACCTGACATCCCCTTCTGGTTTTTCGAGACAAGGTTTCTCTGTGGCTTTGGATGCTGTCCTAGAACTAGCTCTTGTAGATCAGGCTGGCCTCCAACTCACAGAGATCCACCTTCCTCTGCCTCCTGAGTACTGGGGGATTAAAGGCATGCGCCACCACCGACCGGCAAAATCTTTTTTTTAAAGATTTATTGATTTATTATTTATTATGAATACAACATCCTGCCTCCATGTTTGTCTGCAGGCCAGAAAAGGGCACCAGATCTCATTGTGGGTGGTTGTGAGCCACCATGTTGCTGGGAATTGAACTCAAGACCTCTGGAAGAACAGTCAGTGCTCTAAACCTTTGAGCCATCTCTCCAGTCCCACAAATCTTTTTTTTTTTTTAATGTTAAAACAACAACAACAACAACAACTTTAAAAACAAAATTCAAAAAGGATTCCAAGGGAGTCTGGAAGGCATGGTGGCTCATTATAATCCTAAGACTCAGGAGCCTGAGAGAAAAGTATTGTCACAAGTTCGATGCCACCCTAGGCTATGCAGTGAGCCCCAGTGGTTAAGAGCATTCACTGCGCCAGGCGGTGGTGGCGCATGCCTTTAATCCCAGCACTTGGGAGGCAGAGGCAGGCGGATCTCTGTGAGTTCAAGGCCAGCCTTGTCTACAGAGTGAGTTCTAGGACAGCCTCCAAAGCCACAGAGAAACCCTGTCTCGAAAAACCAAAAAAAGGAAAAAAAAAAAAAGAGCATTCACTGCTCTCCCAGTACTCACAAGGTGGCTCATAACCACCCGTTAACTTCAGTCTTCTAACTTCCTTGGCCCCCAAGCACACCTGGTGCACATATATAAATGTAGGCAAATATTCATACACATCAAATAAATCTAAATATACATAATTTAAATGGGAGGGACTGTAGCTGTAACTCAGTTGAATGAAAAAAAGTAAAAAGGACATGACTGCTCTGCTCTTAGGTATAGTGGAGGAGAAAGTTTATTGTAGATAAGAGGGAGAGCATAGTCAGAGGTAGGGACCTCTGGAAGAGTCCAGAGTGGACATTACTGGGCTGAACTGGGCCATGTCGGGAGATGAGAGCGTTGAGAGCCAGACCAAGAAGTCAGGAGGGTAAAGGGTAATAAAAAAGAGCAGGCAACCAAAATGCCTGGATTCTATAAGGTAGGGAGGCTGAAGGAAGGACAGCCCAACCTCTGGGCTGGACTACTTTAGGGTAGTGGGCGGGGTATGCCAGCCAGGAGGACCCTGTAACAGGAAAGCACAGAGGGAGGGAGGGTGAGGCTGGTGACTAGCAAATGCTTTGATATGCTAACAGACACCTCAGGTAGCCTTTTGTCTGGATTTGAGACCTCACATCAGTAGGACTGAATTTACCTAGCCCTAGTGAAGTCCTATATTCAAAACTAAGTAATGTCAAAGAAGGTTTGTTTCTATTCATAAGACATCTATGTTGCTTTTTTTTTTTTTTTTAAGGAAACTGGGTATAGGGCTGGAGAGATGGCTCAGAGGTTAAGTGCACTGACTGCTCTTCCAGAAGTCCTGAGTTCAATTCCCAGCAACCACATAGTGGCTCACAACCATATACAATCCAATCTGGTGCCCTCTTCTGGCATGTAGGCAGAACACTGTATATGTAATAAATAAATCTTTTTAAGAAAAAAAAAAGAAAGAAATTGGGTATAGGCAAATTCTTTGAGAGGATGGGAAGCAGCCCAAAGCAATTTTCTATCTTTTTTAAATGAACTTTTTATTTATCTTATTTGCATTGGTGTTTTGCCTGCATGTAAGTCTGTGTGAGGGTGGCAGATCTTGGAGTTACAGACAGCATGTGGTTGTTGGGAATTGAGTCCTCTGGAAGAGAGGTCAGAGTTCTGAACCGCTGAGCCATCTCTCCAGCCCTAGTGGTTTGAATGAAAATGGACCCCCAAAGGAATTTTCTTATGGAACAGGTAACCCCTCCAAAAAAAAAGATTGGAAGTAGTCATGTTTTAGATTTAAGGGTTTTTGAGCTTCTCTGAGATCAAAGATTACTGATTTGTGAAGCTGTGATAATTTTATTTAAGGGGAGGGATTAAAAAACAAAAAGAAGAGAGGAAGGAGAGGCCATTTGCTCTTTGCAGGCAGGCAGGATGGGCAAGGCAGAGGAGCGCAGAAACCGTGACCCAAAGAGATCGCTAATGTGCCTGTGTTAGGTCCAGTTTTACAAGTACGCTGCTCAGAGTTGTAGGTCATCAGCACCTAGAGGTATCTGGTGTGTCGGCATCCGTTCTTACCAAACCTGGGCGACCAACTGTGCAAAGCAGCGGGAGCAGACAGATCCTCCGGCTCGCTGGGATCCTCCCTCCCTGGGGCGAAGAGCAGGCAACCGGCTGGTGGCTCGTTAAAAATTCAGCACTGGGAAGAAGGCTTGGGGGAGGGGTGGAAGGTGGAGTATGGGACCGCAAAACCGGCCTCTGGCCTTCGGGAATCTTCTGCGGAAAATCTACTCACTCTCCTTTACCTCCCTCCTCACTCCTCTTTCACCCTCTCAGACTTCCGTTTGTTTAGAAGCCAACCCTCTCTTTTAGTATTCCGCCCCTCCGTGCTGTCCGCCAAGAATCCTGGGGCCAGTGGGCAGCCTGGGTCTGTGGGAGAGGCATTCGCAAAGACGCTCCTGGGAGGAGGAAGAAGTGCAGTTAACTGGGGCCGGGGGTGTGTGGGGTTTGGGAAGAAATACCGTTTCCCAAGGCCTGGACCAACTCCAAAGAGTCTGTCATCCATTCTGCTGGAACACCAGAGAAGCTGAATGTAAGCCCAGTAGTAACTCATTGTAAATACTTCCTTCATCTAAGGCAGCCTTTGCTTTGAACACAAGCAAAAATCATGATTTACATGTATCCCGTGTCTTAGCATGAGCATTTCAGATGCAGGAAACCCAGATTACGGGTCTGTCTTCTCGTTTATTGGTGTGAGCCCCTTAGAACAGGGAGATGTGACATTTAGAATTCATTGGGAATTCCCCAGGGTGGGGGTGGGGAGGGTGGGTCACATCCTTTCTTCTGTTAGTGTTTAGCCTTCAGAGGAATACCGTGAGGCAGTTATTGTCACCTCTGTTTTCAAGTGAGGAAACAGAGAGAAAAAGCTACAGTCAAGCCTGTTGGCCATAGGCCTATAATTATAATTCCTTGGGAAGACTGTTAAGTTCTAGACTCACTTGGGCTACATGGTGAGTTCAGGTCCACCAGGGCAACAGGTGAGGCTATCTCAAGGAACAAAAAAGAAGGCTAGGGATACAGCCTCGTGGTCATGGCACTTCCTTAGCATGGATGAGGCCCTAGGTCCAGTCTCCCGTGTTGGAAAAAGTGAAGCCATTAGTATCTGTATTTGCTGTTTCTGACTCCCAGCATGTCCATGTCAAGTAGAAGAATAATTAACTGTAACTTCATCTTCTCAGGCACCTGCACTCACATGCAAATACCCACAAACCTGTGTGCTCACACACACAATAAAAAAAATAAAACCCCCCAACAAACAAATAAATAATAAATAAGAAAATAAAGAAACATAACTTAGGGTTTGAATTTCTTGTGGGGGGTTGAGATAGGGTTCCTTGTGTAGCCTTGGCTATCCAGATCAGGCTGGAGGCAGGCAGATCTCTGAGTTCAAAGCTAGCTTGGTTCACTGTGTGAGTCCAGGGCTTCTGGGGCTACACAGAGAAACGCTGTCTCAGGAAGAAAGAGACAGAGAGACAGAGAGACAGAGACAGAGAGAGAGACAGAGAGAGACAGACAGACAGAGAGAGAGAGAGGAAATTGAAAACTAACAACAGCCGGGCGTTGGTGGCGCACGCCTTTAATCCCAGCACTCGGGAGGCAGAGGCAGGCGGACCTCTGTGAGTTCGAAGCCAGCCTGGTCTACAAGAGATATGTCCAGGACAGCCTCCAAAACCACAGAGAAACCCTGTCTCGAAAAACCAAAATAATAATAATAATAATTAGTTAATTAATTAATTTAAAAAAGATGTGTAGGGTCTGTAGACCAGGCTGACTTTGAACTCACAGAAAATAAATCTTAAAAACAAAACAAAGGGCTGGAGAGATGGCTCAGAGGTTAAGAGCACTGCCTGCTCTTCCAGAGGTCCTGAGTTCAATTCCCAGCAACCACATGGTGGCTCACAGCCATCTGTAATGAGATCTGGTGTCCTCTTCTGGCCTGCAGACATGCAGGCAGAATACTGTATACATAATAAACAAATAAATCTTAAAAACAAAACAAAACAAAACAGGCTGGTTAGTTCCAGCACTCGAGAGGCAGAGGCAGGCAGATCTCTGTGAGTTCGAGACCCGCCTGGTCTACAAGAGCTAGTTACATGACAGCCTCCAAAGCCACAGAGAAACCCTGTCTCGAAAAACAAAAACAAAACAAACAAACCAAAACAAAAAAGATGTGTGGGCTGGAGAGATAGCTTAGTGGTTAAGGGCACTGGCTCCTCTTGCAGAGGTCCCGAGTTCAGTTCTCAGCAACTACATGGTGGCTCACAGCCATCTGTAATGGGATCTAATTCCTTCTTCTAGTGTGTGTGAAGATGGATCACTTATATACATAAAATAAATATTAAAAAAAAAGATGCATGGGGCTGGAGAGGTGGCTCAGCTGTTAAGAGCACTAGCTGCTTTTCTGGTGGACCTGGGTTCAATTCCCAGTATCCACATATCTACATGGCAGCTCACAATTGTCTAACTCCAGTTCCAGGGGATCCAACACCCTCACACAGATAGATCAACAGGCAAAACACCAATGTACACAAACACAAAATAAAAATAAATTATAAAATAAAGATGCATATATATGTATATATAAATACACATTCATACACAGAAAATTGAATAAATCTTTTTTTTTTTTAGGTGAATAGCCATCCTGAAGAATACCCAAGCAACCTCTGGTCTCTACATCTACATATGAGAACTTCTATATGAACACTCAAATGCACATATGTACTTTCCCACACTCACAAAGGAAGGGAGAGATGGGAGGTAGAAATTCAGAACACTGGAGAAAAAAGAAAAGAAAACAGAAAGAAATCTCCTCAATCTTTGCAATTCAATGAACAGTGGCTAATCTCAATGATGCATTTGTATAAACTAGAAAAACTGGCCAGTCTGCAAGATACTAATTGGCTATTAGCCAAAAAACTGTCTTAAGAGGGAATAGTGACTAAACAGTATTGTCCTCAGGAAAACAGAAAGTCACCTTATCTAGGGAGGACAAAATTGGATTTTTTTTTTTTTTTTTTTTGGTTTTTCGAGACAGGGTTTCTCCGTATTGTTTTGGAGGCTATCCTGGAACTCACTCATTAGACCAGGCTGGCCTCGAACTCACAGAGATCTGCCTGCCTCTGCCTCCCGAGTGCTGGGATTAGAGGCAGGCGGATCTCTGTGAGTTCGAGACCAGCCTGGACTACCAAGCGAGTTCCAGGACAGCCTCCAAAGCCACAGAGAAACCCTGTCTCGAAAAACCAAAAAAAAAAAAAATTATTTATTTATTTGTATTTTATGTCCATTGGTGTTTTGCCCCCATGTAATGTCTGTGTAAGGGTGTCAATCCCCTGGAACAGGAGTTACAGACAGTTGTGAGCTGTCATGTGAGTGCTGGGAATCAAACCCAGGTCCTTTAGAAAAGCAGCTATTGCTTTTACGAACTGAGCCATCTCTAGCCCTGAGGGATGTTTTTCTTTTTTTTTTTTTTTTTTGGTTTTTTTTCAAGACAAGGTTTCTCTGTGGCTTTGGAGGCTGTCCTGGAACTTACTCTGTAGACCAGGCTGGCCTCGAACTCACAGAGATCCACCTGCCTCTGCCTCCCGAGTACTGGTATTAAAGGCGTGCGCCACCAACGCCCGGCTCTGAGGGATGTTTTTCAATTCAAGCCTATTACTAATCATGCTAAAATGACAAATGTGTACTTTACATTTGTCCTGGATTTAGAATTTTGCCACAGTGCCAACGAGATGGCTCAGCTGGTAAAGCTATGTGTTGTCCAATGATGCAGCCCTTCTAACCTGAAGTAGGCCCAGAACCCACATAAAAATGGAAGCAGAGAATCAATCCACAAAGCTGACTCCAAAAGCTGTCCTCTGACCTCCATACACATTCCATGGCATGAGCATACACACATACACTAATAAATAAGCTATTAAGTTTTCTTGAGACAGGGTTTCTCTGTCTAGCTCTGGCTGTCCTGGAACTAAATCTGTAGACCAGTCTGGCCTTGAACTCACAGATCCACCTGCCCTTGCCTTCCAAGTGCTGGCACTAAAGGCATGTGCCACCACTGGCCAGCCTAATATTTTCTTATGGCAAAAAATCATATATGTAGGATATGTCTGAGCTATCATCTTCCATTGTAGTAATGTTATATACTGTAGTTTCCTTACCTTTTTCCCTATCTCCTTTAAGTGATTTTAAGTGGCAAAGGATGACAGATGCTTTTGAGATGAAAGTAACTATAGAAAAATCTAGGGCCGGGCGTTGGTGGCGCACGCCTCTAATCCCAGCACTCGGGAGGCAGAGGCAGGCGGATCTCTGTGAGTTCGAGACCAGCCTGGACTACCAAGCGAGTTCCAGGACAGCCTCCAAAGCCACAGAGAAACCCTGTCTCGAAAAACCAAAAAAAAAAAAAAAAAAAAAAAAAAAAAAAGAAAAGAAAAGAAAAATCTAGGAAGATATTTAGGTCACTCTGGGGGTAAGAGGTGATGGAACTCATGCCACTCATCGTGATCACTCCAAGCTAATGCTAAAGGAAAACCTTTGCTTTCTCTCCCCAAACCCCAAAGAACTCTCTGGATGATGTAGACATAATTAAGATGGAGGTGTGTGTGTGTGTGTGTGTGTGTGTGTGTGTGGTGGGTGGTGGGTGGTGGCACAGGCCTTTAATCCCAGCAAGGAGACAGAGGCTGGCAGATAACTGTGAGTTCGAGGCCAGCCTGGTCTACAGAGGGAGTTCCAGGACAGCCAGAGAAACCCTGTCTTGAAAAAAAAAAAAAAAACAACAAAATTTTAAATATGTTACAAACGTAACATGTTGTCCCTAAATAAATACGAGCAGTGAGACAAAGCTGCTAATCCACTGTCTCTGTTATTAGAGAGACGGTCTAGACACTGATTAGGTATGTTGGGAAATTTAACCCAAGCACTGAAATCAACCCTTCAGAAAGGTTACCAGCTTGGATTCTCAATAACAATGGGGTAATGGAGCATGCACAGCTAGCTGTTTGCCAATGTGATAGAGGAAGTGACACGGCCACTGAGACACCTAGTGGTGAGGATCTCCACTGCAACATTACAGCTTGCCAGTTGGGCCCCATCTGGATTCACTTTGGGACAGCTAGAGTGGAACTGTGTATTTGGAAACTTAGGTGCCCTCTTCCTTTGTCTCCAATCTGTAATTTCAGGTGTCTGTCAGATGAATGAAACTCCAAAGGCACATGCCAATACATCAAAAAAAAAAAAAAAAAAAAGAATGGCCTGAGGAAGTTTAGAGAACTACAAAGTTTAAATAACATTCAATGACCAATGTGTTTTTTACAAGCCCTCTGGGTTCAGTTGAAGGTGCAAATTTAATTAATGATACTAATATTCATTATGAAGCAAAATTGGGTTTCATCAAGCATATTATCTCAATTTCCTGCCCTTCTAGGCCTCATAAAAACTCAAACCAGAGGATAATTATAACTTTCATGTATTGTAATTACAGTGTTTCAGTGGTCAGATCACCTGCATTCAGAGTGCTAGGAAGTGGAAAGTGTTCTTTATGCCACTCAAGCATAACAATTCACTACTACAGGGCTAGTTCCAGGACAGTCAATGCTACACAAAGAAACTGTCTTGAAAAAAAACAAAATACAACAAACCCAAAAAAGAGCCAGCGCAATAGCTCAGAGTCAGTGTGCAAAAACCTGATCACCTGGGTTCAGCTTCCCCAGAACCCATGTGGTGGAAGAAGAGAGAGAATTGACTCCCACAAGTTGTTCCCTGACCTCCATAAGCATTCTGTGACATGCACATATACACAGCTACACAAAATAATTAAATGAGAGCCGGGCGTTGGTGGTGCACGCCTTTAGTCCCAGCACTCGGGAGGCAGAGGCAGGCGGATCTTTGTGAGTTTGAGGCCAGCCTGGTCTACAGAGTGAGTTCCAGGACAGGGTCCAAAACAATACAAAGAAACTCTGTCGGGCTGGAGAGATGGCTCAGAGATTAAGAGCACTGACTGCTATTCCAGAGGTCCTGAGTTCAATTCCCAGCAACCACATGGTGACTGACAACCATCTACAATTCAATCTGGTGCATATGTAATAAATAAATAAATCTTAAAAAAAAGAAACCCAGTCTCAAAAAACAAAACAAAAATTAAATGAACACACACACACACATACAGACACACACACACACTCACAAGTAATACAATAACTACCAGAAGGAAGCTTAGTCACTGTTCTTCTGGTTACACACACAATTTAGCACTGTTTCTGAACCTGCTAATGTGAGTGACTGTTATAAGAACTAAATACAGGTTGACCACATGCCTGTAATCCCAGCACTTGGAAGGCAAAGGCAAGAGGCTGGTGCTTCTCATGCACTGTTCCCACTCTTACTTGTGCTGTATATTTGGGTACAATAATTGGAGCATGGGGGTGGGGGATGGATGTGACCATATCAGGAAGAGGAGGGAGGAGGGAAATCTGGAGTGTCACAAGGAGAGGTCGTCATCTGACTAAGTGTAGGACAGGCCTAGCTGAACAAACCCATGAGCCATTGGGTGTCTTTATGGGCTTCGTCTTGTTAGTCCGTGAGCATGCTGTCCTTAGAGGCTATTGGTCCCATGCTGTGATGCTGTGCCAGACTTTCTGGAACACAAGGCTAGACAATGTCTCTTAGATGTTGGTATACCCACTGTTTTCTTCTCTCACAATGCAGGACTTATTAACAGAAATGCACCAATATCCAGGAGCTGGTAGTAATGTTGAATGAAACTGTGACTAGTCTACTTTTCATTTGCTTTATCTCTGATTCTTCAGGGTCACCTGACCTTGCTGAGACCTAAGTGGCTGGCACAATCTAACCCGAATCGTTTTGACTCAGTAGAATGAAGATTTTGGAGACAGGACCTCATGTAGCCCAGGTCGTTCTTGAGTACATTATGTACTGAGGATGACCTTAAACTTCAGTTCTTCCTGCATCCCCTTTCAAGTGCTGGCAACACAGGTATGCGTCAGCATGCCTTTTTTTTTTAAGGCTTATTTTTATTATGTATACAGTGTTCTCCCTCCATGTTTCATGTCTGCCTGTACACCAGCAGAGGGCGCCAGATCTCATTACAGATGGTTGTGAACCACCATGTGGTTGCTGGGAGTTAAACTCAAGACCTTTGGAAGTCTGAGCCATCTCTGGAGCCCTGGGAGTTTCGTTTCTTTGTTTTTTGAGAGAGGGTTTTTTCTTTGTGAAACAGCCCTGGCTGTCCTGTATCTTACTCTGTAGACCGGTCTGGCTTCAAAATCACAGAGATCCATTTGCCTCTACCTCCCAAGTGCTGGGATTAAATGCTTGCTTTTATGCAGTGTTGAGAATTGAACCACAAATGTTAAGTGAGTACACTGAGCCATATTCCAAGCCCCAAATAAGGATTTTTTTTCTGCCCTCCCCCTAAATAAAGATTTAAAAATGATTATCTTCATGCTGGGCATGATGACACATGCCACTGTGACACTCTTATAGAAAGAGTCTTGGTATATAGCTCCGACTGGCCTAGAAAATTCTAGCACAGGCTAGCCTTGAACCTGCAGTGATTCTCTTTAAGTCAAGGGTGTTGGGGCTGGAGAGATGGCTCAGAGGTTAAGAGCACTGACTGCTCTTCTAGAGGTCCTGGGTTTAATTCCCAGCAACCACATGGTGGCTCACAGCCATCTACAATCCAATCTGATGCCCTCTTCTGGGATGTAGACAGAACACTGTATATGTAATAAATAATAAATAAATAAAAAATCTTTTAAAAAAAGTCCTGGGTGTTGGGATTATATATATGAACTGCCATTCCAGTTTATTCCTTCTATTTGCTGTCAAATCTGAAGACACACATTTTTCTAAAAAGTATTACAAACTTCCCATGATACACTGATCAGACATTTAAGTCACAACAACTTTTTCCTCCAGGTTATAACCCTTGGGTGACTTTAGAGATCCATGTGTTTTGCGTTTCATTATTTTGTATCCCTGACTGGCCTAGCCAGTTGTCTTCTAATCTCCATGTGCATGGTGTGTACACACACACACACACACACACCTGTGAAAGATCAAAGGACAAAACAAAGCAGAATCTAATGTGACAACTTAAGGACCTGTATCTGTGAAAGAAGGAAATTGTAGGAGTCATTTTGTCAGGTTGGTGTGGATGAGAAAACAAAGACATTATGTTTGTAGGCAGTTGTAATAGCTAAGCCAGATAAAACAAATTCTGAATATAAGAATTCAAAGCCAGGCCGGGCATTGGTGGTGCATGCCGTCTTTAATCCCAGCACTCAGGAGGCAGAGGCAGGTGGATCTCTGTGAGTTCGAGGCCAGCCTGGTCTACAAGAGCTAATTCCAGGACAGCCTCCAAAGCCACAGAGAAACCCTGTCTCGAAAAACCAAAAAAAAAAAAAAAAAATTCAAAGCCAGGTGTGGTGGTACACACTTTTAATCCCAGCATTCGGGAGGCAGAGGCAGGCAGATCTCTGTGAGTTTGAGGACAACCTGATCTACAGAGTGAATTTCAGCAAAGCCAGTGTTATATAGAAAGCCTGTCTTTACTCAAGATTTTTTTTGTAATTGGGCATGGTAGCTCTCATCTGTAATCTCGGCACTGGGGAGTCATCCCTGTGATCCACTTCATTCTTGAAGCTTCCACAAAGCTTTTTTTTTTTTTTTTTTTTTTTTTTTTGGTTTTTCAAGACAGGGTTTCTCTGCATTGTTTTTGGAGGCTGTCCTGGAACTAGCTCTGTAGACCAGGCTGGCCTCGAACTCACAGAGATCAGCCTGCCTCTGCTTCCCGAGTGCTGGGATTAAAGGCGTGCGCCACCAATGCCCGGCAGAAAGCCTGTCTTAAAAAAACAAAAAAGCAACAAACAAACAAACAAAACAAGGCTGTGGTGGTGCACGCCTTTAGTTCCATCACTTGGGAGGCAGAGGCAGGAGGATCTATGAGTTTGAGGCCAGCTAGTCTATAGAGTGAGTTCCAGTATAGTCAGGTCTACACAGAAAAACCTTGTTTAAAAACCCAAATCATATTGATAATAGTAATAATACAATTATAATAATAATGAAAAAAGAAGGGCAAAGAGATAGATAGTATCCAGGAGGGGCATTAAAGGATATAGCTACTGGTCATCAAGGAAGCTATAGAGGGACTTGGGGAGCAGCTCAGTGGTAGAACAGTTGGTATCTTGTATTTCAAAGTATGAGAGAAGACTGGGAATTTTTTTTTTTTTGTAGACAGGCTTTCTCTGTATAGCATTGGAGCTTGTCCTAGAATTTGCTCTGTAGACCAGGCTGGCCTCGAACACACAGAGATGTGTCTGTCTCTGACTCCTGAATGCTGGGGTTAAAGGTGTACATCACCACCTGGCAACTGGGAATCTTTTTTTTTTTTTTTTTTTTTTTTTTTTTGGTTTTTTGAGACAGGGTTTCTCTGTGGCTTTGGAGGCTGTCCTGGAACTCACTCTGTAGACCAGGCTGGCCTGGAACTCACAGAGATCCGCCTGCCTGCCTCTGCCTCCCGAGTGCTGGGATTAAAGGCGTGCGCCACCAACGCCCGACTCGAGTCCCCCAGTTTTTAACCTCTATATTTTGGGATCACAGAATGTCATCCCACCAAACTTATTAATTTTTTGAGACAGGGTCTCTTATGTACCCCCCCCGAGACAGGGTTTCTCTGTATTGTTTTGGAGCCTGTCCTGGAACTCACTTGGTAGACCAGGCTCCACTCCCGAGTGCTGGGCTTACATAACCCTTGATGTCCTGGAATTCTCTATGTAGACCAGGCTGGGCTCCCAACTCACATAGATAAACCTACCTCTGCCTCACAAGCTGGGATTAAAGTTCTGTACCACCACACCTGGCTCTCAGCCAACTAGTTTTTAAAGTCCCTTATCTGTCCATGAAGTGTTACGTGGAAGGAATAAGACAAAAATATCTCAGATGACCTGGTGGTTGCATGCCTTCAGTCTCAGCACTTGGGAGACAGAGGGAGGCAGATCTTTAAAAGCCAGTCTGGCGGGCTGGAGAAGTGGCTCAGAGGTTAAGAACACTGGCTGCTCTTCCAGGGGTCTTGAGTTCAATTCTCAGCAACCACATGGTGGCTCACAACCATCCATAATGAGATCTGGTGCCCTCCTCTGTCATGCAGGGAGAACACCGTATACATAATAAATAATCTTAAAAAAAAAAAAAAAAGCCAGTCTGGTCTAAAGAGTAAGTTCCAAGACGGGCCTTGGTGGTGTATGCCTTTAATCCCTGCACTCGGGAGGCAGAGGCAGGTGGGTCTGTTAGTTCGAGTCCAGCCTAGTCTACAGAGTGAGCTCCAGGACAGCCTCCAAAACAATATAGATACCCTGCCTTGAAAAACCAAAAAATAAAAAATAAAAAGTGTATTCTCTCAAGCCTAATGGCAGGTTTTGTAGTACAACAAACTTGTGTTCTTATGAGCCATTTTTATTTTTCCTTTTTTTTTTTTAATGTTTCATGTAGCCCAAACTGGCTTCTAACTGAATGTAGTTGATAATGTAGAGATAAACTTGATCTCCTGATCATTGTGCTTCCACCTTCCAAGTGATGGGTTCACATGTGTTTGCCAGCCTGCTAGCCTCCTCTGGGGTTTCAATGAAATAAAATCTTTGACTTAAGTTCTGTGAGACTTTGCTTCATTGGCCTGGCACAGATTAGATAGTAGGTGTCCAACTTATAACTTTGAACTAGTGAACATGTTTTTCTGGACAAGTATAGCGACTGCTCAAAGAAGAACAGAAGAAAGAAAAGAGCTCTTCCAACCTATCAGCAGCTGATAGGACCTTAGATATTTGATTTCACGGGAAAGTTGCAAGACATGCCCATTCAAATTTCTTCCAACAAATCACAGAAGCGTATAGAAAACTTTCTCCCTTCATAGGTCAAATGGAAACATCCGCCCCTCCCTCCCTCCCGCCTCTCTCTAGGAAGCCAATAGGGAAGACTTAGGTGTCATCATCAAGTTCTGTATTTGCTATTGGCTGTCTCAACTGTCAATCTAGGGAAGGCGGGCCAGGCCGAACTGGCCTATTTAAGAAGAGGACAAAGGCGGCGCGCAGCTTGTGTCGTCCGCCATTTTGTACGAAGCAAGGTGGCATCCACGTTCCCCGAGCAACTTCTCCGCTTCTGCCTCAACCGCCCCTTGACTGGAGCTATGTCTCGGGATCGGTTCCGGAGTCGCGGCGGTGGCGGTGGCGGCTTTCACCGGCGTGGAGGAGGCGGTGGCCGCGGCGGCCTCCATGACTTCCGCTCGCCGCCGCCGGGCATGGGCCTCAACCAGAACCGCGGCCCCATGGGCCCGGGCCCTGGCGGCCCGAAGCCACCGATCCCGCCTCCGCCTCCGCACCAGCAGCCGCCGCAACAGCCTCCGCCGCAGCAGCCCCCGCCTCAGCAGCCCCCACCGCATCAGCAGCCGCCGCCGCACCAGCCGCCCCATCAGCAGCCCCCGCCTCCGCCGCAGGACTCGTCCAAGCCCGTCGTCCCCCAAGGCCCCGGCTCTGCGCCGGGAGTGAGCACTGCACCGCCTCCGGCCGGCTCAGCGCCTCCCGCCAACCCCCCGACCACCGGCGCCCCGCCGGGCCCGGGTCCCACTCCGACGCCGCCACCCGCCGTCACCTCCACCACCCCGGGACCGCCTCCGCCCTCGACGCCGAGCAGCGGAGTCTCGACAACCCCGCCACAGACCGGTGGCCCTCCGCCTCCACCCGCCGGCGGCGCCGGGCCCGGGCCTAAGCAAGGCCCTGGGCCAGGACCAGGCGGTCCTAAGGGCGGCAAGATGCCCGGTGGGCCTAAGCCAGGAGGCGGCCCGGGCATGGGCGCTCCCGGAGGCCACCCGAAGCCACCTCACCGTGGTGGCGGGGAGCCCCGCGGGGGCCGCCAGCACCACCCGCCCTACCACCAGCAGCACCACCAGGGACCCCCTCCCGGCGGGCCAGCCGCCCGCACGGAAGAAAAGATATCCGACTCGGAGGTGAGTGGCTGCACGAGCGAGCTGTCGGTTCCCCTAAGATGGCGGCGCCTTCCTACCCTCGGCGTTTTTTTTTTTCTTTCCCCCCGCCCGCGGCAGCGCAGGCCTCCATTTTGTTGCCTGCCGGAAGCACGCCCGCGCATGCTCGCGAAGGCGGGGCTGCTGCCTGGCGGGGCGAGTAGTTCGCTAGGGATTGGCTTCCAGCAGGAGTCCTCACAGGGAGACCTGCTGTTCGCTTAGCGGTGAGCTGCTGGAGGCTGGCAGTCCCTTAGGACCGTGCTGGTGCATTTCAGTTTTGTTGCAGAGGATAGGGCAGTTTAGTGCAGTTCCCGTCTTCATTTTATCCTTTCAGGTTTATTTGTTGACGTCAGCACATTGTTGATTGGCATTTGCTGGTGAAGGCGGGTGTGTGTTTAAAGCATTTTGTATGGTCACGGCTTTCTGATGTTAGATTTAGTGATCCTGTTGGATCCCCAAGTATGGTACAACTTGGTAGTGTCCGTATGGAAAAAAAAAATATTACTAACGCGTGATAATGGCCCATTTGGGACAACCAGAATTGGTTTTGTTTTGTTTTTGTTTTCTGCTTTGGTGTCTGAATTCCAGTTTCTTCATTAGGGATTTAAAGCCAACTTGTCTCTCTTGCGGAGGCCTGGAGAAAAAACTTATACACAGCGCTGTCGATTGTTTGTGGGGAACCTACCTGCTGATATCACAGAGGATGAATTCAAAAGACTGTTTGCTAAATACGGAGAACCCGGAGAAGTTTTTATCAACAAAGGCAAAGGGTTCGGGTTCATTAAACTTGTGAGTGTATTTGGTTTTTCTTTTATTATACCCATACATAATAGAAGTGTGCTTGGGTTTTTTTTTCTTTTCTTCTGTAAAATATTGAAGGCTTGATTGTATGTGGGAAAATTTGGTGGCTTTTCCCCCCCCATTATCAATACAGGTTAGTATAGCGTTTATCAGGGCAGAGCTACAAAGACAGAGCTTTGTCCCTTCGGAAGTTGGGAAAGACTTCGTGAAGACGATGCTTGTGCTGAAGTGTAGGAATAGTTATGTCTGGCGTTGTTTAAAATGTCTCTCATAATTACAGGAGTCTAGAGCCTTGGCTGAAATCGCCAAAGCTGAGCTTGATGATACTCCCATGAGAGGCAGACAGCTTCGAGTTCGCTTTGCCACACATGCTGCAGCCCTTTCTGTTCGGAATCTTTCGCCCTATGTTTCTAATGAACTGTTGGAAGAGGCCTTTAGCCAGTTTGGTCCTATTGAAAGAGCTGTCGTAATTGTGGATGATCGTGGAAGATCTACAGGGAAAGGCATTGTTGAATTTGCTTCAAAGCCAGCAGCAAGAAAAGCATTCGAAAGATGCAGTGAAGGTGTTTTCCTATTGACAACGTAAGTTGTCTTTTGTTTCTGAAAAATTCTTAAAATTTAGGGGGATAGCTATAAAGATAGAAGGAAGTTAAGGTGAGGAATCCTTTCTGTTACTAGGACTCCTCGCCCAGTCATTGTGGAACCTCTTGAACAGTTAGATGACGAAGATGGTCTTCCTGAAAAACTGGCCCAGAAGAATCCAATGTATCAAAAGTAAGATTAAGTTTTTTGGTGCTCTAAAAGATAAGTTAGTATTTTATAATTCTGCTTAGAAGTTATGAAATTTTTAGACTGGTGTATCTCTGGATTTGGGATTCCATTGTGTAGGCCAGGCTGACAATATCCTGACTTCTGTCTCCCAAGTGTGGGGATTATAGTTGTGAACCAACCAGCCAAGTTTTATGAACATGTTATATAGTATTGGTTAAGTATACTTAATACACATTTCTTACTCAGGCAGAATGTTGTGGGTTTTTGGAAACAAAGTTTCTCTGTAGCCCCTGTCTTGAAATGACTTTTTAAAAGACCAGGCTAGCCTCAAACCAGGTATCCACCTGTCTCTGGCTTCAGGCAGAACTTGAAGTTTTTGGGTTAAGTACATTCACATGTGATCCAGATAGTGCTTAAATTGCAAGAGATCTGCCTGGTACTGGTGGGAAAAATAAGACTGGATAATTAGGCTACAGGAAATGGGGAAGGTGGTATTTCTTACCTACCTTTTTGATAGGGTATCGTTTTCTTTTTTATTTTATTTTTTAAATTTAGACAGGTCTACAGGGAGACCAAGACTGGCTTAGAACTCATACATCATACCTTCCTGGCCTCTTGCTTTATTTTATATCATAACTTATTCCTTGATTTGATACAATTTAGGTAAATAATTGATGGTTACATATACATTCATCTAGGAGGCAAGCTCCAGGCCTGCCAGGGCTCCACAGTGAGATTGCAAGTTGTAAATCTTAAAAACAACACAGTAGTGTAGGAACCATGTCTTGTGTTTCTTTTCCATCCATGGTGTTGGGGATCAAATCCAGGGCATTGTACAGTATACTACGTGCTTATACAAGTGTTTTATTTACCACTGGGCCGTAGCCTACAAGTTGGGGTTTCTTTAGAACTCAGATTTGCCTGGTGCTGCTATCTCCCAAGTGCTGGGATTAAAGGCATGACAAGGAGCCATCCTTCCTTGTCAGTTTAAGGAAGTCATTCTCAAATTGGCTTTATATAAATTTTGTGTTGTCAGGGAGAGAGAAACACCTCCTCGTTTTGCTCAGCATGGCACATTTGAGTATGAATATTCTCAAAGATGGAAGTCCTTGGATGAAATGGAAAAACAGCAAAGGGAACAAGTTGAAAAAAACATGAAGGATGCGAAAGATAAATTGGAAAGTGAAATGGAAGATGCCTACCATGAGCATCAAGCAAATCTTTTGCGCCAAGGTGAAAAAAACCTCATAATTTTACTGATGGTTCAGTTGACGTTTTTGACGTGTCTGAAGCCTCATTAATATGAATCTAAAAATATTAAATTCCATTGTTTAGATCTGATGAGACGCCAGGAGGAACTGAGGCGCATGGAAGAACTTCACAGTCAAGAAATGCAGAAACGTAAAGAAATGCAGTTGAGGTATAGTGTTAAGTTTAGCCTTTACTTCTCCCCTTGTAGACAAGATGTACCAAGTGCAAGTTTGCATTAGGAAAGCCTGTTTGCCAGCCTGCTGCTGTCTATAGAGTTGTATTCTAGGCTATGGATGCTATAGTTTGGTAACCTACACTTTTTAAAATTCTAAGACAAATATACCACTGGTAACGTTTTCAAGTAATTTGAAACAAGGCGTTGCTGTATGACACTAGCTGGCCCTTTCAATTTGAGAACCCTTTCAAGTATAAATTCTAAAGATAAAGATGACACTTAGATTTATTCGCCTGAAAAACATTTGTAGGCAAGAGGAGGAACGACGTAGAAGAGAGGAAGAGATGATGATTCGCCAAAGAGAGATGGAAGAACAGATGAGACGCCAGCGAGAAGAAAGTTACAGCAGAATGGGCTACATGGATCCAGTAAGTTTCCTGTTACAGTTTCCTTGGATTTCTTAGTGGAGCCTGATTAGTTAGCTAGCATAAAAAGTATTCAATGCAAAGGTCTTTGTTTTGTGTGTGGTACTTAACATAGCCAGATCTTACTGGATCAAATTTCATTGAGTTTTTGGTTTGGTTGGTTTTTTGTTGTTGTGGTTTTTTCTTTGTGTAACAGCTCCAACTTCTGACTTGCAGAGGTTCACCCACCTGCTTTGGCCTCCTGGTGCTGGGATTAAAAGCCTGCACCACCACCACCACCAATCTTCATGGAGGTTTTTGTTTTGTTTTCTCTAGCCGGTATTTCAGGACACTTGAATACCTCAAAAAGAAAAACATTCTTTCTGAACTTTGAATTGTTTTGAGACTTGTTGGCTTTTCTTTCTTTCTTTCTTTCTTTCTTTCTTTCTTTCTTTCTTTCTTTCTTTCTTTCTTTCTTTTTGAGGCAAGGTTTTGCTGCTATGTAGCCTTGACTTTCCTGGATTCTCTAGGTTGGTGTGTCAAACAGTGGTCTACCTCCCTGTGCCTCCCAAGTGTTGGAATTAGAATGTGTCCCACCAAGCCTGGATAAACTTTGTTGAAATTTTCTTTATAGTTGAATACTTATATGTTTCATGTGTAAGTAAGTTTACCTTTTTATTTTCCCTCCTCCCCCAGAGAGAAAGAGACATGAGAATGGGTGGTGGAGGAACAATGAACATGGGAGGTAAGTGAGAATTAAACTAAGGGGATCAACACAAAGCCACAGTTATCTGTTGGTTGTAACCACTATCTTTGTTTCTTAGATCCCTATGGTTCAGGAGGCCAGAAATTTCCACCTCTAGGTGGTGGTGGTGGCATAGGTTATGAAGCTAATCCTGGAGTTCCACCAGCAACCATGAGTGGTTCCATGATGGGAAGTGACATGGTAATGTATCCTGTGGGACATAGTACAAAGGAAATCCTTAATTTCATGACTTGAGTGTTTTTTTTTTCCTTTCTCTTTCTCTCTTTTTAAAGTAGCTGACTGGACTTTAGTTCCCCCATCATGTAAATACATGTAATACTGAGGACTACTTTGGCAATGTAGAACTATGTGTGGTAACCTAAACAGATCTGGTTGCCAACAAAGGAGTCAATGCTGCTGTATGTGGAGTATCTTTGGCAATAAGTAGATAGGTATTTACCATTTTATTGTCTGTGCACTTTTGAGCCTCCAGTGCATGGCAAATCCAAATTTTAGATGGTAGGTAACTGTATATGGTTTTTCTTCGTCCAAGTGAGTGAAATGGCACGGTGCCATTCTTCGAGCTGGCATTTGCCATAAGTAGGAATCAGACTCATGGCTTGTAGCCATAAGCATGTTAGAGTGACAGGTAGGGACTTTGACTTACAATTGCTATGGTTTCTATTTCTAGCCCATGAAAAAGAACTGTAGTGTTTTGACTCGTCGTTTCCCATCTGTTGGGTCTCTCTCTGTAGGTACATCTGAAATAAACTGATGTTTCTTCTTTGCTACAGGGTAGCAAAAGTCAGCAGTAATTTAAGCATACAGATGTGTGCATTTGTTCTGGACCCCTTGATACAATCATGCTTTTATCTGTATGAGAGCCTGTCAGGTGCTAAAGTGAATTTTGGTATGAGTGACTGCAGTAGGGCTTTACAGATCCGTAGGAACTGCATTTTGGTGGGAATAGATTTTTGTGAATAAATTGAATCTAAATAAGTCACCTATAGGCTTTTGTCACAAAGGAGCTGCATTTTGTAGCTCATAAGATTTATTTTCTATATAGGAATTTGTAGTTTTAGTGTGAGATCTTATTTAAAACCTGTCTAAGGTTTCTTGAAATTTTAAGTTAGCATTATAAATGGTTGGATATAGTGATGTTAAGCTCCATTAAATTGCACTTAAAATTAACATTTTGATTTCATGTACTTTCTAGAAGGAACAAGGAATATCAAATTTGTTAACTAGTTTGACGTGTCCTTTAGGTTCTGTGTCTAGACACAGGTTTATATATTTAATAACTCCTAAGTCCTTAGTACTGTAATGTAACTCTGAAGCCTCAAATTTTCTCTAACTCTAGAAGCCATGCTGCTTGGAAGATTTTTCAAGAGTAAAAGATTGAGAATAGTCTGTTTGAGTACTTCTGTAGTGTTTAAGTTGAAATTATAGGGACAGTTAAAGCCTGGTGTCATCTTTATTTTTATTTTGAGTAATGACCAGTAACTGGGTTATATTGAGTAGAATTTTAAGTGGAATGTCTGTAGGGTTTTGCTGTTAGGATACGTGGGTTTTATTTTACTTGTGTTTTAAAGTGACAGTGCCTAAAACTACATGGAGTAGTGATCAGTCACCCTTTATTGCAGTCACCCAAGTTTGGTAGTAGGCTGTTTTGGGAGATAACCTAAAACATGGAATCATGACAAAGTGATAGTGCACTTTCCAAAACTAAGAGAAAGTTGGACTTTTGAAGTAGGTGGGCTGTGTATTGTGTTTTGTAACAACGCAGAAACATACTGTGCATGTAAATGTCTCTGGTTTATAGTGATGGCTCTGAAGTGTGGAATGCCTGTGAGACTGTGGCAACATGAGTTTTTGATCAAGTTACTGTGCCGGTTAAGTAAAAGTCTATTAGTTTTTTGTGCTTTTTGTTTTTTGTAGTCTGGTAGCATTTTATTAAGTTTCATCCCAACTTTTTAAGATTTCTGCAATTTTGCAGATGTGTGTTAAGATCTTGAAAAGCACAAGGTTTCTTATGCAGCACATGCCACTAACTGGTGAGTAGGTCTTTGTCAATTCATTGAGTGAGTTGCCTTTTTGTCTGATTGGGCTTGTTAGGCTTGGAGATAATTTTCTGTTCATACCTGGACAAGTGTTTCAGTGGATTAATCTGATGTGAATTTCTTAGAACTCATTTTGGAATGGGTTTTCACATCTGCACTAATTCTTAAATTTTTTAGCACTACAGGGAAGATCTATTCTTTGAAACAGGTGTATGAGAATGGCTCAAGTGGGAACATACCACAAGGCATGTATTACCGTAAACTAATTTTCAAATTACCCTTTTTTCCTTTCTATGTTCCCGGTACCTGTGGATCGACTCATTGGTGATTGTATCGACGAACGTTGACTACGGAACCTTCTAAAATATTTACTTAACACACATGGACATCAACTACATTTAATGAACTGTTAATTTACTGTTCCAATAGCGTACTGAGCGCTTTGGGCAGGGAGGTGCGGGTCCTGTGGGTGGACAGGGTCCTAGAGGAATGGGGCCTGGAACTCCAGCAGGATATGGTAGAGGAAGAGAAGAGTATGAAGGGCCAAACAAAAAACCCCGATTTTAGATATCTAGGCTTTCATTCCAGTTTGTTTTTGTCTTTTCTTGTTTAGATACCACTTTTAAATTCTTGCATTTTAGTAAGAAAGCTACCTTTTTATGGATGTTAGCAGTTTATTGACCTGATATTTGTAAATGGTCTGTTTGGGCAGGTAAAATTATGTAACGCAGTGTTCAAAACAGGAGAAAAAATTTTCTTTTTATTTACTTTTTTTTTTAACTGTATAATGTTTCTCAAGTTAATGGCAGTGTACCTTGTGCCACTGAATTTCCAAAGTGTACCATTTTTTTTACTGTGCTTCGAATAAATAGAAAAATAGTTACAATACTGATCTTCAACTTTGCCATTCATGCTTCTACGCACATTAGGCTAGGTATTCCACTTGGAAAGCATGAGCGTGTCTAGGCCTTTGAATGGCATATGCCATTTCGGGAAATGTATCTGGAGGCTAAGCATTGCTTTCTACAAATGACCCTCCCCTTGTTTTAAAAAGAAATGCATATTGATGTAGTTAGTTGTTTGGCATTATAGGAAGCAAGCTGGTGCTAAGCATTTTTAAATGGTTATGTTAGAAAAGTCAAACTGTAAATCTTAATTCAGGAACATGTATTAAGATTATGGAATGGGTATAAACTACTGGTAGTGAGAGAAAGGGGGTTTGGTTAAATGGATCCTTTATGGCCCTATCTATGATCCTTTCCTTGAAAGCTTTTGAAAATGGAAAGATCATCTTGTTGCATTTCCCCTATTTTGTTTTAAACGAATAAGTCCCAAGCCCTACCATTGGCTTGTACTGAACTTTTGCATTTGAATTAAAGATTGTTAAACATGAAGCCTTTTCATGTATTACTTTAAGTGATTTTGAGAAGAGTTAAGAGTTAACTATAAATAAGGTAGATTTAGCCTTATGTACTCTTTAACATACACCTTGTGTGCTATTGAGCAAAATCTGTAGTCTGAAAAATCTATTGGTTCTCTTTAAGAGCTAGTGGTGACTGTTACTATGTAGGACTGCCAATAACCATTCTCACTATGGAGTTGACCTGTTTTTATACCATTCTTTTTAACATAGCACTAAACCTGGAGAGAGTTGCTCAGGCTATATAGTATGAATACTCTTTCCTCCCACTGAAGCTTGGGGGTGTTTTGATGATGTTAGTTGATTGTCAACTTAATTGAATTTCCTTTCATTAGAACAAGAGACTTTCTGACTTGACAATAATAAAGTAGATTGTTTACTGTTGTCTACGAGTATAATGGGAGCTTGATTTTTTTTTTCTTCCCAGTGTAAATATGTTAAGAGGAAAGACTTATAAGTAAGAATGGCTTGGCTCTGTTCTTAGTTACATTTCTATTCAAGTCTACATTATAGAACTTTCACTATGGAATGTCTTCATCCTTTTCACCTCTATCCTTGGTGCTAATTGGCAAAAGAAATCTAAATCACTTGGCTGAGGTCTAGTATTGTGCTTGAGTACAAAAGGAGACCTATTGTGGAAACAATTGAGTGCTTCATGAACAGGAAAATGCCGTAAATTTTTTAAAAGTAAAACACAAGTAGATTACAAGAAGCATGTCACCAAATGATTTTATAACTGATAGGTATATGGTGTATTAAGGGAGAAAATTTCCCTAAAAAATACATTAATTTTTCTTCACCAGTACATTCGGGAGTAGGTAGTTCCATCATAATTTTAGCAACCAGAAAGTTTTGGCCCAAGTGAAGTTAATGATTGGTGATGCATGAAGGTTTTCTGTGCTCAAACAAAGGTCTGGATTTGAAAGGCGCTCATTGGTTGAATTGTATAGTAGGGACCACAATAATGAGAAAATTGAGGGGTGTTCAGGGGACACCCATGGAGGGTGAATTTGAATGTATGTGGGTGGGGGCTGGAGGGGAAATGGGAAAATCTGCCTATAAAATTAATGTTTCAGTTTATTTTTCAGATTACATGCCTTTCTTTATAAGTGATGCTGGCACAGACTCCTAAAATAAGCTTTTGGTAGTAGTATACTTTTGAAGAGAGCTGAAGGATGCTTAAAGGATAGTTTCCTGAGATTGTGCCTTTTGATAACCTTCATTGTGGGCTGTAGAGTTGCTAAACTATGTTTAGCAGATAAGGTTGCATAGTGTCAACCAACATTGACTTTGATCAGTGTACCAGCGGTTGTAAGCTACTGAGACTTTCAATAAGTCTTACATGTGATTGTTTTAGTGAATTTTAAATCATATTGAGCAGTTGAACCAAAAGGAAATTTAGGGTGGGAGGGGAAGATAACAATGTATTTTAGACATTTTCCCATAGAAGAAATCACCTGCCCCTATTTCTTCCTTCACTTCCTCAAAATTGTTTGCAGGGTACACCTAAAAAATTTTCACCTCTTAAAGGTTTCATTCTCTAAGACAGTAATACATATTTAACAGGCATGCTATAAGCTGAACCCATTGACACACATTATGTGGTGAGACCATATTCTTTTGTCCCTAGAACGTTAAATTCCTAGGTACTTTAAAACCCACCACTCTTTATGTGTGTTGTACCACTAATACAAACAGATAATCTGGGGAAATTGTAGGAAAATTGTAATGTTACACCTGTGCAGTTTTTACAAGTGGCATATCATGGCAGATAAAAATTTAGGTACTTGGCTTGGGCAAGCCACAAAGTTGTGGCGGAATGTTTTGTGGTGTTCTTGGACTGCAATTGTGCACTATTAAAGTAGTGGCCTGCTACATAACTGCGTTTAGCCAGCATTTCTGCAGTGCGTAACTGTGAGGAACGTAGTACCGCAAATGGCAATGGACATTAGGACCCGGATGTAGTATTCCTGCTTGCTCCAAGATTCTCATTGCCGACTGCATACAGGTAGGTAACAAGCAATATAATCTAACTTGCTATGTGCTTTTATTCAGTGGGCATTCTGACATCACACTTCTGACAGTGAAATTACAGTGCAGCACCTAATACTTGTATGACAAGCTAGGTTAATTCAAAATCTGGGTCTGGGATTAGATCTGTAATTTGTTAGGAAGAATTCAGTGTTGGAAATCTCAGAAAATGCAAACTTTTGGTGTGTCTTGAAGTTTTGTGATTTTCTTTAGTTACACATTGTAACTGAAGATAAAATGGAACACATCTGGTGATTGGGAGGGAACCAAACCATGCTTGACCTGGGGTCTCAGCACCTTGATGAAGACTGTAGTATGTGATACTTAGTCTCTTTAGTAGCAAACTTGACCTGCCTTTGGTCAGTCAGCAATGTCTAATTTCATTATGCAATCTTGAGACTTGTTTTGCAAGATGAGTGAATTAAAAACTAAATGACACAGGATGGGGGGGTGATTTTTTTTTTTCTTTCTGGGATTTGTTTTTGTTTCTTTTGTAATGTGATCCAATTTTTCCAGGTATGGGCTTCATGGTAACACTTTTGTTACTAACTTGGGCTTAAATGGGAATCTTACGAATAGTTCAAATTATGTGGCTTGTCTAAGTATGTTTATACTCTAAACTTGGGGGAAAGTAGTGTGAAACACTGACTTCCTACAGTTGAAAGCATTGGGAACCATCCCCACCATAAGACTTCGTCGTATTCTGTAGAATGAGTGCATTTGTTCAGAGTAGCTCTTTGAACTTTGTTCCCTAGTTTTAGGGATGTGATTGATTACAGTCCAAAATAATCACAGGGATACATGAGCCTTCAAAGCGTTTTCCTTTGTTGCTTAGGACTTGAGCTTTCTTCCTATCAACTGTTCCAGACCTCAGTTCAGATTAACCTTACCGTTTAGGTAGCATGCATGAGAACAAACAGCTTCACTCATAATGCTTTCTGCTCTATAACTGGAAAATTTGGTGCATTCTGCATACGTGCCGCTGAAAACCTCAGGACTGTGAGAATTTTCTGTCACTGTATCAAGAAAAATGGCTTGCTTTTGGAAAGGCAAGTCAGATGGTGGGGCAGATTTGTATTTACTCCAAGAAAACAACTGTGATTACTGATAGATGAAAGCAATGGTGACTTAGCTCCTTATGCTACAAAGCATACAGTGTGACATGAGTATCACTAACCTGCCTAGAACCCTGTTGGAGGCATTGCAATGTCATAGTATGTTAAATCGGTAGTACTTGCTTGCTACCGTGGCTCACTTAGCAATTTTGAGTATTAACAAGAGCTCAGGCTTATTCTGAACAGTAAGAACTTGGCAGAGAATATACTTGATATATGTACTTAGGGAACTTGGGGTGGGGTCATTTTTTCCCCATTGGTCTGCTTTAAGATGAGGCTTTTGTACTTCAGAATGAGAAACCACTGACTTAAGTAGATTTCTGCTAGTTTAATTTGTATGTAGGTGTAAATTGTGAATCTTACAGTATATTGGGGTAATTTTAAAACACTCAAAAAAAAGCTGGGAATTAAGTGGGTTCCAGTAATACTATATACTGAGGTGCTCGCATTGTATTTCATAATCTTGTTGCAACCAAAATAATTAGTTTTTAAATGAAATCCTAAGTTCAGAGGTGTGATGCCAGAATGTATTATTGTACTGTTAGGCCCTTGGAGCAGATGATGGTGCTTTCAGAAAGATGAAACAGATGCAATGGGAGCTCTTGATAAAGGCTGCTTGCAGCCTACCAGCAGTGCATACTCTAAGAGATGCGTGTGGTTAGTTTTGGACTTTAACCTTAATGGGGGTGCATGTCTCCTATTGTTAATCATTGTCAGCTGCAGTGACATGATCCACAGTCCTGCATTTACTGCTGCCTTTGTGTTAATGATTTTGGATAGGTTTTAGAACTGGGGTGTTTGTTCTGGGTCTTTTCTTTGGTTTTGGCTTTAGCTGATAATGTGTAGTGCTGTCTAGCTAGTGCAGTTCTCAAATGGCTCCCTACTAGGGAGAGAATCTAGAGGATTTAACTGCTCCTTATCATCTGTCATTGCTGCTAGATAATGATTGGCAATTTTTTAGATGCAAATGTGGAAATCTCAATAGCTATTGGCAAACAACCATAAAAGTAATGTTTTTGAACACCAGTGCTGGAGAAAAAAAAGGTGAAAAGGGCCTGGACATAGAATAGGGATAATTGGAGAATGGGGATAGAATGCAAAACGATATAGTATCCCTTATGGATGGTCCATGTGCAACAGAGAACTATTCCTTATATCTGCGACAGTAATGATTCAGGGAGGAAGAAAAACCTGGAACTTGAATTTAAGGCTGAGTTTTCTGTTTCTTGTGTACTGTGCCAGGTATATAGTTGAAGGCCATTGACTTCTCCCTCAGAAAAACTTTCCTTGCTGTTCCAATAAGGCATAGCTTCCCTGCCCTAACTTTAAAACACAGTGAGGACTTGGACAAGTTTGAGGCAAATGCATAATAGGATTGCAGGGTAAAGAACTGCAGTGTTGTGTGCTGTGGGAAAGGGTCGAAGCACTCTTGGGGGTATTTATTCTACCTAAGAATGAAAGACACAACTATTTGACCGGGAAGCAGGGTATGTTGTAGAGCTAGCTTAGTAAGGTCAGCGTTGTCACATACCTTCACATAAGGGATAGTATATTTTGGGTTGCAGTCAAACTTCATTGTGCTCAGACTGGTGAAAATAGAAAAGAGGCTTTTGCATTTTGAAGAAGATAGTTTTCATTCTAATTCTGTCATCTACTTACTTACGTAAAGAATAATTTTAGATTTCTCCCCATAAAGTTTCTTCCTTTTTTTTTTTTTTAATGCTACAACTTATTCCAGTCTTTAATCTCTGGAATTTTGCTCTTTAAATTTGGAAGTTAACTAGCATTTTTCAAGCCTTTATCTTATACCCTTGTCTTTCATATTAACTTTTTCTTATTATTCTTTAGGTGAGAATGATTGATGTTGGCTGATTTTGGAGTCCTTTACTTGAAGTAAGTGTCCATTTCTAATGGGGGTTTTAGGATCTGATTTTTCTTTGGCTTGATGCTGAAAGTTCTTTAATTCTGAAAAATGTACCAAGATACAATTTTAGTTTTTTAAGCGTTAGTGGAGGGTTAGGAATTGCCTTGATGATACCTGTGTTTTATTCTTAGTACCTCCATGGTAGCACCCAAAACACAAACATTAAAATAATTTTACGATGGGTAGTGGTGGGCACACCATTAATTCCAGCACTTGGAAGAGGCAGGCAAATCTCCTGAGTTATAGGCCAGCCTGGTCTACAGAACAAATTTCAGTGCTGGAATTAAAGGTGTGCACCACCACTGCCCACCGAGAAACCCTGTCTTGAAAAAGCCAAAAGCAGAATGATTTTTAAAAATTTTTTAAAGAATTGTTCAGAGCGGTGTCCCCGAAATTACTTTTTACTAATACCAATACAAAATACATAACCAATACAAAATACATAGGCTAAGTTTTATGGGCTATTTATTACTTCAATTTTGCTTTATAGGTGAAATAAGATGTTTGTCTTCAAGACATCATACAACACAGGCCAGCCAAGAAGGAAAGGCACGTGTTTAGCCTGAAAAAGACTAGGTAAGTGAAATAAATGATAATTAGATTTCTTTGGACTTCTGGTCCTCCTCTATCTCCAGAGAACTGTGATTACACTGTAGGGTGTCACCAGACTTGGTGTGTGTGGTACAGAGACTTGTCAAGCATTTCATGAAAGCTGTTAGGTGGATAGACACCTCAGCCAATTGAGCTACACCCCTGACCCAGCATTTTAAACTGCCTTGTAGCTCTTTGCTACTATAAAACTGCCACTCATTACCACATTCCTTGATTAGTGGGGTTAGGAAAATTGGTCATTAGAACTTTGTAAAATTAATGTTTGAAATTTTGATACCTGGCTCTTTTGGATTAATCATATTTTTTAATTGGCAGGATCAAGTGAGCTGTATCAGAAAATGAATCAAGACGAAAGAGGAAGGAACTTATTTGCCTTTTAATAAAGATATTTTAAAATCTTGATTGTCTTTTGTTCAAATAGGGTTTTGTGGATTTGCTTTTTTGTTTTGTTTGATTGTATACCCAAAGTTAAATGTAGGTAGCAAAGATGAGTTTTTCAAATCTAGTGTTGTGTACATGCATGGTCAAGGCGCAGGGGTTATAAGAACATAAGTGTCTCATCACCACATGGCTTTCTTTTAAATTTATTTTATGTACATTGGGGTGTTGCCTACATGTATGTCATCTGCCATGTGGGTACTATGGAAGAGCTGTCAGTGCTCTTAACCTGAGCCATCTCTAACCCTTGCAAAGTTATTTATAACCCCTGAAAATTAGTAGATGTTTTAGCCAGGCAGGCAGATCTCTGAGTTCCAGGCAACTCTGGTCTGTCACAAGACAGAAATAAGAAAAATAGGAGTTTTATGGCCTTTAATTTGGTAGAGGATTATTACATGTGAACAAAGGAAAGAATAAGACAAGCGAGAATGTCAGCAGAGCAACACCGTGGAAAAAGGGTTAGGTTAGTGAGATCGCCAAGTGGGGAAAGGTGATCAAAAAAAAGGTGGATTCTTTGGCATCCGTGTGGGGAAAGGACAGACCTGATAATAACACTCGTGTATAAACAGTGCTGCAGTACTCAAAACACATGCTGAATCAGCTTTGCCAGTTAGTGAGTGCTTGTTTCAAAGTATGTACATGAATGTGTTTATAAACCCACAAGGTGGGAAGGGACATGTTCAAATCCTATAGTAGGTTATTTTAAAAAGTACCCTTCAACCTACTAGCAAAGCTGTTGAGCTATTTTTTAGGGGAAGTTTACACTTAGAAGTCTAAAGGGTCAGTGTTTGGTGCGTAGATGATGCAGTATGTATCTTTGTTGAGTTCCCTGCACCCGTATGAGGTGGTAGGTAGCCTGTAACTCCAGTTCCAGGGAGTCTAGATACTGTGGACCTCTGGCCCTCTTACCTGTGCTGTTTTACGCAGACAAACATCTGTTAAAATGGCAGTGTGGGCAGGGTGGTGAAAAGATCTTCTATGCTACTTAGTGCTAAAGAGTACAAATGTGTGGCCACTCAGAACAAACTTGCAATTAATGACCATATTTGGGACACTGAGGTTATACAAAACAATACAAAGAAACCCTGTCTTGTAAAGTCAAAAAAAAAAAAGTGTGTTTGTGGATACTCAGAATCTAGCAAGTGACTTAAGTCATCTCAGCATAAATTATAACCATGGATCTTACACATGATATGGCCAAGGACAAGGAGGCACTGAACACTGACAGCAAAGGAGCCTTCTGGTAGAAGTGCATGCTTTTAATTTTAGCCTCTGGTAGGTAGAGGATGTACCTACCTTAAAAAATGGCTGGGAAGCTGGGTGTTGGTCTTTAATCCCAGCAGAGGCAGGTGAATCTCTGTGAGTTGGGAGGCCAGCCTGGACTAGAGTGCCAGGATAGGCTCCAAAGCTACACAGAAAGCTTGTCTTGAAAAACAAAACAAAAAAGGGCTGGGAATAGCACCCAGCCATCACCTTCAACTTCCTAGGGATAGAGATGTGTAATAATTTGATTTTCAACTTGTTCTTTGAAGAAGCAGACTTTAATGCTTGACTATATGACTCCCTAAAGCTAGGCTGCATAGCAAGATCCTGTCATGCACAGGCTATTAGTTGTTTTGGTGTCTGTATGCCATATATGTTCAGTTGCCTAAGGAATTTGGAAGAGGGCTTTGGATTTGCTAGAACTGCAGGTAAGCCATCTGCTCATAGTGGGATGCTGGGAACTAAAAAGTACATCTCTCCAGTCCCTTTTTATTTTGTTTGGGGTAGCACTTGGAAAATAGGCAGGTGGATCTTTGGGAGTTCAAAGTCAGCCTGGATTACATAGTTCCAGAACAGTTTGACTCAGATTTAGGTGTATGAGTGTGTTCCTGGTGCCATGGACACCTTAGAGGTCTAAATTTCTCAAGGAATTAAACTGAGCAACCATGTACATGCTGGAAATTGACCTGGGTCCTCTGCAAGAGTAACTAGAGACCCCTGCCCCCCAACGTTTTTTTTTTTTTTTTTTGAAACAGGATTACTTTGTATAGCCCTGGCTGTCCTGGAACTTGTTCTGTAGAGGACACTGGCCTTGATCCACCTGCACCTGCCTCTTGAGTGCTGGGATTAAAGGCGTGCACCCACTTTCCCTGCCACAACTAAGCTCTTAGCTACTGAGCCTTCTCTCCAATCCCCAAATACTTTTTTTTTTTAAAACATTTTATTATACAATCTTCTGCATGCCAGCAGAGGGCACCAGATCTCATTCAAGACAGTTGTGAGCCAGCCAGGCGTTGGTGGCGCACTCCTTTAATCCCAGCACTCGGGAGGCAGAGACGGGTGGATCTCTACAAAGCGAGTTCCAGGACAGCTTCCAAGACAATACAGAGAAACCCTGTCTCGAAAATCCAAAAAAAAAAAAAAAAAAAAAAAAAAAGCCAACATGTGGAGTTGAACTCAGGTCCTCTGGAAGAACAGCCAGTGCTCTTAACCACTGAGCCATCTCTCCAGCTCCTCCCAACTACTTTTGAAAACGATGAAAAATCACTGAATCATCTCTCTAACCCTAACATTTTTCATTATGAAATTTCATTGCATTCATAATACACACAAAGAATATTCAACTTTATTCTCTAAGGCAAGGTCTCTCAATCAAGGACTTAATATGACTAGTCTCCTGATTATGCTAGCCAGATTTCTTTTTGGGAATTGGTATCTCTGCCAAGCACTCAACTGGGAAGCCATGGTCCCAGACCCCACTCTCACCATCGTTTGATATCTTGCGTTGTTGGTCTGTATCTTAACTTTTGTTTTTTGAGACAGTGATTCTGTGTGTAACAGTACGGGTTGTCCTGGAACTCTACAGAGCAGGCTGGCCTCAAACTCACTGATAGCTACCTGCTTCTGCCTCTCAAGCGCTGGGATTAAAGGGGCACGCCACCACCACCTAGCAACTTTTTTGTTTTGAAGCAGGGTTTGTCTGTATAGCCCTGTCTGTCCTGAAACTTGCTCTGTACCAGAGATCCACCTTACTCTTACTCCTGAGTTCTGGGACTAAAGGCATGGGCCACCACCACCCAGTCATTATTTATGTATGTATTTTTTTTTTTAAGATTTATTTATTTATTACACATACGGTGTTCTGCCAGAAGAGGGCTCCAGATTGAATTGTAGATGGTTGTGAGCCACCATGTGGTTGCTGGGAATTGAACTCAGGACCTCTGGAAGAGCAGTCAGTGCTCTTAACCTCTGAGCCATCTCTCCAGCCCCTTATGTATTTATTTTAAATAAAGCAAATATTTTTTTTTTCGAGACAGGGTTTCTCTGCATTGTTTTGGAGGCTGTCCTGGAACTCGCTCTGTAGACCAGGCTGGCCTCGAACTCACAGAGATCCGCCTGCCTCTGCCTCCCGAGTGCTGGGATTAAAGGCGTGCGCCACCAACGCCCGGCTGTAAATATTTGGTTTTTTTTTGGTTTTTTTGGATTTATGGTAGCATTTAAAATTACATTTAAGCATCTGCCCCCCCTTAAAATTTATTTTCATTTAAATTTATTTTTATGTGCCTTAGTATGAAAGTATCAGGGTTCCTGGAACTGAAATTACACAATTTTGAGCTGCCATGTGGGTTCTGGGAATCGAACCCAGGTCCTCTGGCATAGCAGCCAATGCTCTTTAACTACTGGGCTGTCTCTCTCGTCCCCATCTTCCCAATTTCATAGCTAATTGACTTTTTCTTTTTATTTTCTTTTTTATTTTTCAAGAGGGTTTCTCTGTATAATAGTCCTAGATGTCCTGGAAATAGTTTTTCAGATCAGACCAGGCTGGCCTTGAACTCAGAGATCTGACTGCTTCTGCCTCCCCAGTGTTAGGATTAAAGGCATGCTCTAAAAGGCATTGGAGACATGGTTCAGTGGTTAAGAGCACTGGTTGCTCTTCCATCAGTCCTGAGTTTAGTTCCCATCAACCATGGTGGCTCACAACCAACTATAATGAATTCTGGTGGGCAGGCATACATGCAGGCAGAACACTATATACATAAATAAAATATCTTTATAAAAAGGTATGCACCACCACTGGCCAGCTTTTTGTTTTGTTTTTTAGTTGGGTTTATTGGGGTAAGGTCTCAATAGATAGCCTTGGTTTGTCTGAAACTATGTGGACCAAGTTAGCCTTGAGCTCTGATATTTGACTGCCTCTGCCTCCTGAGTCTGGGATAAAATGTATGTGCCACCACACCCAGACTTTTTTATATGTAGGAGTCTTGCCTGCATATTTGTGGTATGTGTCATCTGTGTGCCAGTGCCCATGAAGGCCATAAGATGCTCTCCTACACTCTTAGGACATCTGTATTGATATAGCATATACTCACCCAGATACACACAGATATATAAATAAATCTTTAAAAAAGGAAGGAAGAGCTGGGTGATGGTGGTGCACGCCTTTAGTCCCAGCACTTGGGAGGCAGAGTCAGGTGGATCTCTGTGAGTTCGAGGCCAGCCTGGTCTACAGAGCGAGTTCCAGGACAGCCTCCAAAACAATACAGAGAAACCCTGTCTCGAAAAACAAAAAACAAAAAACAAAAACCCTGTATCAACAAACAAACAACAACAACAGCAAAAAAGGAAGGGCTGAGTACTAGCTGTTCTTCCTGAGGAACCAGTTTTGATTCTTAGCACCACCAGGAAGGTTAGCAATCTGTATCTCCAGTTCCAGGGATCTACTGCCCCTTCTGGCCTCTGTGGGTACTGCATAAACATTTTTGTACAGACTTTCAAGAAGGCAAAATAACTATACACCTAAAAATAGATAAAAATCTTATGCTTTGGGTGAACCTAGCTAGCCTTTAATAGAAGAGTCACCTCTCCAGCTCAAATAAAAAATACTTATAAAATGCATTAACAATCAAGGGACATCTGAGCCATCTCTCCAGCCCCCAAAATAAAATCTTAAAAGAATATTCTCGGGCTGGAGAGATGGCT